ATAAGTTGATGTTGGCAATTGCTTTTGATTAGACATTCAGCTCCATTTTTTATTTTAATTGAAACACAAGGTAATTTGCTTTTGCTTAAAAATCTAAAATTTATTGGGAGATATTTTCTATTCACAAATAGAAAGGACAAATAGACAAAAAATCCACAAAATATCAGCATGGAGCCACACCATACAATCAAACAAAAATACTTAATGTGTATGTATATAGAATATTTCATCCAGCAACAAAGTGTACATTCTTTTTCTCAGCATCAAACAGACTTTTCCTAAAACAGATAACATCATATGCAAAGATCATGCTTAAATAAGTACAAAGGAATTGAAATGTTATGGGTACCACCATATCAGTGTAAGGAAATGGAGCCCGTATCCTGGAAAAATAGGACAAAGCCTCAGTAAGCCTTCTGGGAAATCCTCACCAGAAAGAGTGAAATCCTCACTAAAAGAAGCAATTAGGAGAAAAGCTGACAAGTCAGGCAGTTGTTCTAGCTAACTTTCCCCACCTTCAATAAAATACAAAGAAAACAATAGGTGGCCACTTAAAAGACAGTTCATATTTAGAATGTAAAAATACACCTATCCCTTAACCTAAATTGCTATACTTTGTACGCAAAGTTTCTTCTAACCAGCTCTTAAATTCTAGAGGTGTGATACTGATAAGGCAAGAGAAAAACAAGTAATGACCACTTAAGTATGCACATGTAGATGATGGTGCAATAAGTCAGAGTCATTGGGGCTTGGAATTCATCTAGGATAGCTCAGGGAACCATTTGGGTTGTGGAAAATTCCAGGTAGAGAGACACCTGGCACTCAATAGAAGCAGTCAGGAACAAAGGGTCCACAGGTCTGCCATCTTTCTGGACAAGTCAGGGTAGCAATCTATCTTCCTTTATCCACTTTCCAATGAAATCTTCAATAAAACATCTTCCATTCCTTAAAATCTGTATCTTTAATTTGTAACTGAGACTATTTACAATCCTGCTGAGCAGTTAAGTCAGGGAAAGCAGTGGAGCTGAAGCTGCAGTGCCCAGCACCAGATGCAACAATTGTACAATGAAACTAGAAATGAAGAACAGCTATCTGACTGTGATCATGTTTGGCAAATACAGTGTGTGCTAATGAAAAATGGTCAGATGCTTATCTTCAAAGAAAGGCAGCCTATTAAATGATTCTGGGAAAGCTGAGTAAAAGATTGAAATGTGCTCTATATTTCTCACAATGTACTCAATTAAAATAAAAATGAATAAAAATCTGAGCATTAAAACAGAAACATAGAAACTACTGGAGCATAAAACAGATAAAATACTTCAAGTCTTGGCTGTAGGAAAAGATTTTCTAACTGAGCCACAACTGCACAAGAAATAACAGCAAGAATCAATGAATGTGATTACATCAAATTGAAATGCTTCTTTATAGCAAATGAATCAATTAGTAGCCAAAGATACAACTACAAATGTTTTAAAAAATCATCAATCACTTTGTAGAGAAAATTTATATATCACTATATAAATTATATTAATATATAATATATAAAATACACTAATATACATTAATAGATTATATATTCTATTGTCTAGAATATATAAATAACTCAAAATAATAGACTACTAAAAATAAAAAAGAGGCAAGAAATGGGCCTGTGAAAAGAGCAGACACTTCCCTGAGGAACAAATCTAAATATCCAACTAATACATGATAAAAGTGTTTACCCTCCAATGTCATTAGAGAAATGCAAATTAAAATAAGATTTATTCTTAAACCAGAAAGAAAGGCAATCTTCAAGAAATTAAAAATAACAGAAGCTGCCATGATTTTTCTAGGAAAAAAGCCTTTTACACTGTTAGTGAGAATATACAGTATTACAACTGTTATGGAAACCAGTTGGTGATGTAACAAAAGACTAGAATTTAAAATTCCACATAACTCAGCTATCCCCTTGCTAGATATCTACCCCAAAGAGGTTAAGACTTCATAGTACAGTGACACATCATGTCAATGTTTACAACAGCACAATTCATGACAACTAAATCCTAAAAACAGTCCATATACCATTTAACCTGTTTGGATAAAGAAAATGTGACATCTATATATAACGAAATAGTACTTGACTATAAAGGACAAATTGGAGTCATTTCTTGGAAAACAGATGCACCTAGAAAGTGTAATGTTTAGTGAAATAAGTCACACACTAGCTTACTCATTTGAAGAAGACATAGTACAAAGAGAATAATAAAAGATATATAGGTGACAAGGGCTTGGATCTCTTGCAAATCAGAAGAGATCCAAGAGAATAAGGGTGAGGGGTGATGGGAATATAAGGGAAAGTATGATAAAGTTATGTATATATGAGAATCTCATAACTTCAATTCAATGTAGACACTATATGCCATAAATATGTGTTAAAACTAATAATACCAGCAAGAATGAAAATAGGAAAGGGCGAACTGAATGAAGCTATGAGGAATGAGGGGAAAGGAAGTTTAAAAAAAGAAGCTAGTTGGCAATATAGTTCAGTGGACTAAGCACTTGCTTAGGCAAGTGCAGGGACAGGGGTTCAATCCTGGCACCAAGTGCCAGGCGGGTCCGGCCCCCAGGCACACTGAGTTGGTGACCAAGTCTCGGTATGGTGGCACATGCCTGTAGTCCCATTGTTGGGGTGGCTGAAAACAGAAGGATCACTACAAGTCTGAGCTGCACAGTCAGACAGACCCTGTACCAAATACAATTTAAAGAAAAGAAAGAAAGAAACAAGCTGTAGCATGTATATGCTCCTAGTCCCCAAGACAACTGCAAAATTTATGTACTGCTAACATGTACAAAAAAGATGAACTTGAAACCCTACCCCATACCATATACAAAAGGAAACTCAAAGTAAATCTCACACACACACACACACACACACACACACGTCTGTATATGCATGTGCTTGTGTGTGTACTCATGTACAATGTAAAGTATTAGATAAAAACTAGACATATACCTTTGTTATCTTGAATTACACATTTTTCTTATATTATAGCAAAAGTATAAGCAATAAAGGAAAATCACATATAGACTGACTTAGATTTCAATTGAAGAAGGCTCATTCCAAGCTTACATTAAACCTAGAGACATCAATTTTAGGATATACTTTCATAGATATAAACAGTCCCAATGTATTAATTTTTGACAGTGTAAAATTATTTGACACAAAAATAAGATTAAAAATGTACATACAGCACACAAAAAGTATTATCTGCAATATTTAACAAGCTTAAAAGAAAATTTTGGCTATTTTTTTTTAGCATTTTCCAAAATGCATCATCAATTACCCTGTTTTCTACAAAGTTATCTAAGGCATGTTTTGTAAATAAAATAATAGAATATTTTGTTTGACTCCAGTGTATATTCCAGAATTCAGAGCTTGAAATGCTCTAAAATTGACATTGCTTGTCTAAAATTATTATTACATTAAGAAATTCCAGGAAACATGTTTCTGAAA